CGGCCCTTGTGGGCACAGCGCTGTTCAAATGCGCCTGACCCCAGCGCAAAGATCTACGAAGCAGCTCCCAGACCCTGGAAGCGAACCCAGATCCCTGGAAGCGACCCCAGATCCCGGAAACGATCACAGAAACGATCTCAGAACCGATATCAGAAGCGACCCCATACCCTGGAAGCAATCCCAGACCCTGGAAGCGATCCCAGACCCTGGAAGCGGCCTCAGATCCCGGAAACGGTTTCAGAACGATATGATCTCAGAACATATCCCGGAAACGACTTCATGCACCAAAACGGTTCCAGATATGGCGAACGCCGAATCAGTCTCAGAACATCCGAGGCGACCGCAGCGTTGGTGGGACAGGTGCATTTGAACGTGCGCGCATTGTGCCCTCCTCTGATCTCGACGCGCATGGCGGCAGCCTGTAAGCATCTAGATTAAGTGACGGATCGGTTTTGGGGATGAGGTGAAGGAGGAGGTGGAGGAAGAGCTGGGGGAAGAGGTGGAGGAGGCGGCGGTGGAAAATGAATGGAAGACGATAAGAGGATCAGGAGGGGAGGACTAGAATTTGATGAGGTTGATGAGGAGTAGGAGGATCGGTCAGCCTCCTCCTCCTCCTCGCCATCAGCAGTTGAAGGCTTCTTCATCGCCGCTGGCCGCTTTCTGACAGGCTCGTCGCCGTCCACCTCTTCCGCGGCACCTGCCTCGTCCTTCGCCTCATCCTCCTTTTTCGCCGCCGTTTCTCCCGCCGACTCCTCCTCCTCGTCCTTGTGCCCGTCATCCTCCCCCTCCTCCTCCTCATCCTCACCGAAGTACTCACCCTCGCCAGCAGGGTCCTCCTCACGGGCCCCCGAGGGCCGTCTCATCTTAGCAGGCTCCCCATCACGCGCTGACGGACGTTTCGAGAGTGCCTTCGCCTTGCCTTTAGCCTTGCCTTTGGCCTTGCCTTTAGCCTTGCCTTTAGCCTTGCCTTTAGCCTTGCCTTTAGCCTTGCCTTTGCGCCTGGCAGCTGGATCGACTGGCACCGTCGGCGGCTGCATCAAGTAGCCGCCCTTCTGCAACCAGGAGTTCGTCAACTCCGAATGGAACACGTACTTTTCCCCGTTCACGTTGTCGAACTCCGCGATCAAGAACCCATCGTCCCCATGCACGTATCTGGTAGCTTTGCGAGGCCTCCCGTCAGTCATGACCACGATGATGCCCTCGCCGTCGAACTGAGCGAAGAGCGGCTTCGCATCCGCATCCTCAACCTCACTGTCGCTGGATGTCTCGGGGGGCGTCGCGGGAGCGACATCATCGGCCCTGAAGTTCACGAATGGGCACGGTGGTTTAGCACCCGACCGCGGCGTAGATGCCCTCGAAGGCGATGGTGACGGCAACGGTGCCGCTGTAATGAGATCCAGCAAGGCGACGAGGTCTGGTGGAGCCTTCGCCCGCGCGGTGGGCGATTTACGTAGCTCCTTATCTTTGATGCGGACGTGTGCGAGCATCACCCTCGTCTTCACTGAGAAGAGGTCGGCCAATGCGTCAAACGCAATGCCAGTAGAGCGAGATATCCGCCGAGCATGGCTGATGAACGTCTTATCCGAGATGAGCTTGTTGAACGCCGAGGTCACGTCCTTGGAGTTGTAGTACCCACCGCGTGGGTCGAGGCGAAGCAATGGCTCCAAAAGGGCCCGGTATAGAATCAAATTCTCGATGTCGACGCCGACGCGGCAATCGCTGCTGGTGTAGTGAACGCCATTGCGATCCTCGAGAATGCTGGGCCACACTGGGCGTATCGCATCATGGATCTCTTGGTCCTCGCACCCTGGAGGCGTCGAGTGCCAGTTCTTCGCGCGCCCCATCGCTGGGGCCTGAGCCAAAATGGCTGCAGAGAAACATCCTCATCTGATCCTCTTCATTTTCTCTCGATCTCTTCCTCTCCGTCATCATCGCCCTCGTATCCCTGCGCATCATCATGCTCCATTTGTCGTTGTCCTCCTCGTCACTCTCACTCATCATCTGCATCATCATCATCATCATCATCATCATCATCATCATCATCAGCATCAGCATCAGCATCAGCATCAGCAGCATCATCCTACAGTCCTCGTCGTCCTGCTCCCCATCATCCTTCATCGTCGTCCTCCTCGTCCTCGTCGTAATGGTCATCCTCGTCATATCCTCGTCCTCCTCGTCGTCGTCATCATCATCGCCCTCCTCGTTGCCTTCGCCTCTCCCTCCTTCTCCTCCTCCTCCCTCCTCCCCCTCCCTCCTCATCCCCCTTGTCCTCCTCCTCCCTCCTCTCTCCTCCTCCTCCTCCTCCTCCTCCTCTTCCTCCTCCTCCTCCTCCTCCTCCTCATCTTCCTCCCACTCATCCAGGTTCTGGCTCAGACCTGCGGGCCACAGGGGGCCCGTTTGCCTGAGCCCCCAGCCTTCTGCCCGAGGGGCGGAGGGCGTCACGGAGAGCAGAGGGCGCCGCCATAGGCCGCCCTCGCCCGCCTGGCACAGGCGGCTGCGGAGGCGGCGCGCCAGTGCGCGCAGCCTCCTGGCGCTCGAGCGCGCGAGGCGCGTATTGCGGCACCACCACGGAGACGGTCATCTCGTGGCCATGGGTGCTGGCGACAGTGGCAAGGGCGGCAGGAGCTCCAGGCCGCCGTCCCGCGCGCCATCGAGACCTCGGTCGGAAGGAGGAGAGTTCTGGCGGTGCTCGCAGGCCGACTGTCGGTGCGCCAAGAACCAGGCTCATTGGCGCTGGTGCAAGCATTGCGGCAAGGAGCGCAACGGGGGCGAGTCCAAGCCGCCGTGGGCGCGTGATACGCCTCGTGGGGGTGCTGGCAGGCCTGCTGGTGCTGCTGGCTCGTCCGTCCCGGATCTCGGAGTGGACGCCATGCAGGCGCTCGTGGTGTTCGCTGAGCAGAAGGGGGACAAGCAGATGGCCGAGAAGTACCGAGAAGCCATCCGCATCAAGTCTCAGCCTGAGGCGCCCACGGCCCTGTCAAAGGACGAGTTGCGCTCGATGGTCACCATGGCTGAAAGATCTGGTGACAAAGCGACGGCGGCGGAGTACAAACAGTTGTTGGAGCAGGCTGACAAGGGCTCGGAGGACAAGAAGCCCGCGCAGCTCAGGGCCAACAAGGCACATGCTCGGGTGCGCAAGACGAAGGGAAAGCTCGAGGCCGAGAACGCGGTGCTGGCGAACCTGCTGGAACGTGTGGAGACGCAGAAGGCTCTGGTCTCCGAGCTGGTGTCGGAGCTGGATTCGGCCGAGAGCGAGTACAGGGTCGCTGTGGCAGAAGTGGCCGCGGGGGTCAGCGGTCAGGCCCCTGCGAAAGTGGAACCAATCAAGCTCTCGCTGGCCAAGCTCATGGACGGCGAGCTGGACGATATCGACCTGGAGGACGACGGGCTCTTCGGCTACACAGAGTTCGAGGAGCTCGGCTCGGCGGCCTTTGAGGAGGCAAAGTCCAGGAAGAAGCAGATGTTGGAGTCTTTCAAGCAGATGGCGGGCGCTTTCTTCGGAGAGGTGCGCCAGAAGGGCCAGGCGCTGCAGGCCGAGCACAAGGTCATGCAGGAGCGGCTCGCGGCCAAGAAGCGGCGCACTGCAGAGGGAGACGCTGCTGACAGCGACGGGGACGGCATCACGGGGACGCAGGCTCCTGAGGCGCCTCCTGAACAGCCTGAAGTCGCTGAGCCTGCAGGGCCTGCACGCGCTGAGGGTGACTCGGAGAAGCTCAAGGCCACCGCTCGCGCAGCCGTGGCAGCGGCGACCGAGGTGGCGAGCGGCGGCAAGGCAGAGGCTACCAAGCATTGTGGGTAGCGACTCGAGAAGTATACTGAGACACGGCGGCAGTTCGTCCAGAGCTACCAGGGGATGTCGTGTGCGTTTCACCTACTGCGATGTTGCGAAGACTGGCCTCCAGTCTGGATCTACGACGCGTTCGGCTTCTGTGGCGGGGGCCAGACGTGGGTACTCTTCTTGCTCGGCTCCGACGCCGCGCACTTCTGGGGTCCCCCCTCCGCCCCTGGCAGCCATACCTGTGGCCAGAGGTCCCCCAAAGGGGGTTAATGGGGGGGGAGCGACCCGCGCCGAGGGCGCGCCTGCGGGGGGCTCGCCTATGGGGGGCGCCACGTTCCCCTGCTCCCAGTCGGTCGGGGACGTTAAAGCTCTTGGCGTGAGCCATGCGCCTTCTGGGCAGGGCGAGGGCGTTCCCCCAGCGGTGACACCCGCAGGTAGTATTGGGTCGACATCTGTGCCGACTTGTGCGCGGGTACATCAGGCAGGCGATCTTCAAGGCTCGAGACGGGGAGCTAAGAGAGGTCGTTCGGTTACTCGGTCGAGTGCTGCGCCTGGGTGTTCGTTCACTTCGAGTTCGGCTACGACGTGTGGGACCTCAGGGTCGTCTTCGGCGGCTTCGGTAGCGCCTCCGTCGCTGGCATGCGGTTCGTCTACTGAGGAGCCTGCTGGAGGCAGGCTCCCCCCTCTGCTTCAGTGTGAGTTCAGTGCTGCCTGTGCTGCTAGTCACCCAGGGGTCCCCAGTCTCATCGGAGCCGCTAGCTCTTTCGACTTTCTGCAGGCCCCCCCAGAGCCGCCCTGCCCCTCTGGCTTCGGTCTCATCGTGGAAAGCTGTAATGCCACTTGCTGGAACTCGTTCAAAGAGTGGCTCAGTAATACGACGGCGCACATTATTTGTCTGCAAGAGCACCACATCGTCAAGCCCACTGCATTGAGGGAGGCAACGTCGTGGTGCAGCCGTCATGGATGGAAGGCGATACTTACCCCTGCCATTGCTGGTCAAGGTGAGGGCTCGTCTGGGGGAGTCGGCATCCTGGCGCGGGAGTTCCTGGGGTTGCATGAGCCTCTGTGGGGCTCCTCGCTTTCGGCTGGCCGTCTCATCAACGCCTTGGTTCACCTTCCTGGGGATGTGCCGTTTTTGGTCCTGTCGGCGTACTTGCACGATAGTGAAGGTTTGTCTAGCAGGAACCTCGACATTCTCAGTACTGCGGGGGCTACTGTTAAGATGTCGGGGCACCAGGCCATTCTTGGAGGTGACTGGAATATGTCTCCTGAAGTCCTTCTGAAGTCGGGTTTCCCTGAGAAGTTGGAGGGGTCTTTGATCAAGCCTGCTGGCTCTGGGACCTGCAGATCGTTGGGAGGTCTGAACTTCCTGGATTATTTTGTGTGCACTGGGGGCATTGCGAAGGGCATTCAGTCGACGAGCATAGTGCAGGTGGCGCAGCTGACACCGCACAAGCCCGTCCATCTGCAGCTTTTTCCTCGGCTTGCTCAGCTGTGCGCGCTCACGTTCCGTAAGCCACCGCCCATTCCCAGAGAGAGGCCGATTGGGGTTGGCCGCTCACCGCCAGACTGGGGTGAGGTGCAGGGCGCTGCTGAGGGGTGTTTAGGTACGGCGCTCTCGGGCCAGATCTCGGAGGCTCAGGAGATGCTTGATTGGGTCTACGGGCGTTGGGCGGATTTGGCCGAGAGGGAGCTTTGCGACTTGGCCCAGATCACGCTGCCCTACTATGGTGCCCGTAGTAAGTCACCGCAACTGCATTGGGTTCCGATCATCAAGGACAAGGCCCCTCCTTTCAGGCACCCCAAGCTGTTCGCGGGCAAGTGGGTTTCTCATAGGTTCCAGGATCTGATCATCGAGTATAGGGACGGAGCTCTGGAGGCCTCGAAGACCAGGGAGTCCCTGTTGAAGCCCCCGTCCTTCGTGCTTATCGTCGGCTGTGTTGACTGGGACCAGTATCTCAGCACGATTCAGTCCTTAGTTCGTGCCGTCCCCGACGGGAAGATCACCAGCGGGGAGCGCCAGCAGTGGGGCAAGTCCGAGTGGCTGGAGGCTGCTCAAGATGCTTTGGTTTTAGTGCAGCAGTATGTGACCAAGCTTCAAGGGGAAGCTCGACAAGACGGCGAGATGGGGTGGAAAAACTGGCTGCTCACAAAAATCAAAGAAGGGGGAAAGAATGCCCACTTGGCCTCCAAGGAGGCCCCTGGTTGGAAAGCCACCACGACCTTATCGGCTGGGGGTTTAGTGCTTTCGGACCCTTTGAGTTTGCTCAAGAGTGAGGCCTCTGGCTGGGCCGAGCTGTGGCACGCGGGCTCTGAGGCGACCGACAGTTTGTTTGAAGGGGTGTGTCAGCCCCTCCCCATGGTTTCGATCGACCAGATTAGGTCGACTGCCGCTGCTTTCAAGGCCACCACGGCACAGGCGGTGGATGGGTTTCACATGAGGCACTACTCGTGGCTGTCGGACTCGGCGCTGGCGGTGGTGAGCCTCTTGTTTGCGATCTTCGAATCGCTCTCCAGCCTGCCGCGCCAGCTCCAGATTATTCAGGTGGTGCTTCTCTCTAAAGCGTCGGGGGGATATCGGCCCATTGGGTTGTTTGTTTCCCTTTTTAGGCTTTGGGGGAAATGCAGAAGGGAGCTGGCGGCGGATTGGGAAGCGAGAAATGCTAGGATATTCTTCTCTGGCAGTTCTTTCGCTTGCGCGGCCGACACGGTGTGGCGGCAAGCGGCCCGAGCCGAGCTCAGCACTAGGAAAGGGGAAGTCTCGGCCTTGATGTTGTGGGATATGACTAAGTTTTATGAAAACTTTTCTCACGAAAGGCTTGTGGCTGAAGCTCGGAAGTTCGGTTTCCCCACGGCCGTCACCCAGTTGTGCGTGTCTGCCTACAGGTACGGGAGGTTTGTGAGCATGGCCTCAGCGGTCGCTGGGCCCTTTTTCGCGCTTCGTGGAGTCGTGGCAGGATGCTCGATGGCTACTTCCCTGGTTCGGGTCTATCTTCTGGGACCTCTGAGCAATCTGAACCTTCCTCGGGGAGTTTTCCTGGCTCAGTTTATCGACGACTCGGGTCTGGACTCCACGGGTTCAGCTCAGGACGTGTCTTGGGGTATTAAAGAAGGTTCTCGGCAGTTGGAGCAGGCTCTGGTCCACGAGTGCGGCTGCTCCATTTCTTTGTCCAAGGCGGGCCAAGGCAACCTCGTTTGCTCGGACGGGGCCGTCGCCAGGGAGCTGCAGATGTTCCTTGGCGACCGCACGGGCCCGTTGGCCGACAGCATTGTGGACTTAGGTATAGATTTCACTGCTGGCAGGTCTCGCAGGAAGGCCTACATCCGACGGGCCCTCCGCGAGTCCAAGCTCAAGATCCGCATGGCCAACTTGAAGGCCAAGACTCGGAAGGTGAGGATTATGAAAAAACAGATCACGTCCCACGCCAAGAAAATTTGGGTCTCGGGTCCGCTCCCTGGGGTGCTGTATGGTTCGGAAGTCCACGGGATCTCGGACGGGGAGCTCCACCGAATTCGGCAGCAGGCCGGCTCCGTGATGGGGCCAAGCTGTAAAGGTAGATCGCTCACAAGCCTTCTCATCTTAGAAGATGAGCCTACGTGGCTCGCGGCGGTGGCGCCCCTTGTCAGGTACTCTAAGGAGCTGTGGTGTGCCCACTCAGGTGCATACCGCTGGTGTTTCAGTTTCACGGAGCTCCGCGAGGCGTGGAGAATTTTCTTCGCCAAGCCCCCGCCAGCGACGTGGAGGGACGTCACGGGGCCTTTCTCCGCGATGTACATGTGCCTTAAGAGGATCCAGTGGAAGATGATTGATTGGGTCTCCCTGGAAAACGATTTCGGGGAGAAGTTAGTTTTGACGGAGGTTAGTCCTGGGCTCCTAAAGATATTGTTGCGTCAAGCTGTCCTTCGGAGTCTGGAGCGAGTTGCTGCCCAAAAATCGGTCCTGGAGGTCCCTCGCCTGTGCTGCGATGTGCTCAAGCGGTCCCTGCACTCTAGCAAGGTTTCACCATCTGGCAAGGCGGCGATCCGTGTGATCGGCTGCGACGCCAGTTGGACCCGAGTTCGTGCGCGTTGCCTCGGTTACCAGCTGGAGTCGGTGGAGTGTCCTCTGTGCGGTCAAGGGCCAGACACGCTGCTCCACAGATTTTGGAGTTGCTCGGCATGTGCCGAAGAGCGCGCAGAGATAGTATCAGACGAGTGCCAGAAGCTAGTTGACGACATGGACAGCGAAAACCCCCAAGACCTACTCCTACTTACCCGCGGTATCTTTCCACACCCAGGGGACTATTGGCCGAGGCCAGACAAGGAGTGTAAGACCGTGTGGCAATGGGAGGAGGATGTCACGGAGGAGGACGGCATGGTGAGGGGGGAGCTGTTCTTGGACGGGAGCTGCACCAGGTGTATCGTGCCAGAGCTTAACAGGGCGGCCTGGGGTCTTGCGATTTTCGATCGGGCTTTCAGATTCCTAGGCAGAGTTTTCGGCACGGTTTATGCGGGGCTCCCCCAAACCTCGCAAGCTGGGGAGTTTGCCGCTTTTGGCTGTTCTAGCCAAGTCGTGGAAGGTGACTGTGATATGTACACGGACTGTGCCAACGTTCATGTACAGGCTAACCGACCCCTGGGTGAGCAGCTACACTACCAGAGGCCCTATGCGGGGCTTTTGTTGCACAGTCAGAGAGTGTCACACCACATAAAATCTGTGAAGAAAGTCAAGGCCCACCTCTCTCTCGAAGAAGAGGGTGTGCCTGAGGGAGAGATGCAGCTTCGGAGAGGGAATTTCCATGCCGATGCGGCCGCGAAAGCTGGGGTGCGTCTGCATGACGAGCCCACGGCCGAGCAGTCCCAGGCCCTCGAAGAGACGCTGCTCGTGGCCAAAACTGTGTGCAGACTGGCCGCGGCTCTCCTGTTTAAGTGGCCGAGGCTTGATTTGAAAGATGTGGTGTTTCAAGCCCCTGTGGGGCGGGCCCGAGAAGGGCACCCTGTCCGCCCTTTGCACGTTTGGGAATTTGTGGCAGGCCGCTGGCGATGCAATATCTGTCTCAAGGCCTCTCGGTCTCAGCTCCGCCCCCCGCCCAGAGGTTGCTCGGGCAAACGCGGGGACTGGGATTTTGGGGAGATGGAGAGGAACGGCCATTTCGTGGTCGGCCTGCCGTGCGACAACGGTGAAGTGTTGCACATTTGCACCCACTGCGCCTCTTTTGTCGGTCCTGGGTCTCTAAAGAAGTCCAACCTCTTTGGGAGGTGTGACCGCAAGATGTCGGCACATAGGAAGTGTCTTTGGCGCAGGTTGCTTCGAGGTCTTTACCCCAGCTACAGTTCGAGTCTGAGGGTCGACCCCGAAGGTATTCAAGACCTCGCCGTGTGAGGCGGATTTAAATTGCGATTTAAATCACTATAGTCCAGTCTCGCTGGTGGCAGTCTTGATGTGGATGTTGAAAAATCCTCCCACTCATCCTTCCATCCCCCCCTAGCTTCCCGGATCCAAAACACCCCCGTCCCGCGGGGGCGCGCCTGATAACGAACGCCAGCACGTAAAAAATGATGCGCATGATGGCCATGCGCGGCCCGCGGCCCGCCGCTTTGCTAGGGCCAGGGCTGGGGAGCCACGGCGTAGCACGGCCGAAAGAGCAGCGAACGATAAGGACGACGAGGGAGGGATGAGGAGGGAGGAAGGGGGGGAGGAGGAGGAGGGAAAAGGAGCAGGCGGAGGAGGAGGAGGAGGAGGAGGAGCAGCAGCAGGAAGAGGGGCAAGCTAGGAGGAAGGAGGAGGAGGGCGGATGAGGATATTATGGCGCCGCATAGATTGCACCACATGGCTTGCTCTGCGTAGGGTGCACCCGACCCGCAGATTGCACCACATAGGTTGCACCAAACGTCTTGCGCGCGCCACGCGTTTGATCTGACGGGTAACGCGTGCACAGGATGCTGTTCTCAAAATCCAAAGGGTCTGCCACGTGGCCCAACATCGAGCATGTGTAGCACAAGTAAACATAAAGGTATCACAAACATGCCCAAACCACATATCGATATGTGTACGTATGTAAAGTTAACGTATTTGTATATATATAGACATACATACACACACATATGTACATATACACACAAACATATAAACATATATATTTACACATATATACATATATATACGTATACATATATATATATGTATATCTTCCCGAATTCGTTTTGGTAGGTTCCCGAATTCGTGTGGTGGGCAGAACGCGGTTTCCCGAATTCTTTAGCCGGTTCCCGACAACTTCTGGTAGGTTTTGTCAGATGCCAGCATTCTTTTAGCAGATCCGCATTCCCGCACCAAAAGATGACAAACCGCTTTTCTTATGTCAGGAAGACAAAAAGAAAGGCAGAAAGGATCCTCAGGGTACGTCGACGCCTGCATGTGCGGGGCCCCATTCCGGAAACCCGCCGGCGAGCATGGGCAAGCGGTGCACGTGGGACAAGTCCGTCGGGGCTTTCTCTTGTGCCCCCGCCAGTGCTGCATCATCCACTGGGGTACTGAAGGTCCGATAACATTCCGGGCGACGCGAGCAACGGTATTTTACATGTCGTAGCAGAGCTGCACGGCTGTGGAAGTCCTTCCCGCAATTCATACAGAACGTGCCGTGGATAAGTATGTCATCATCGCGCCGTGCATGCTGTGCTGTCTGGTCTCGCTTCCATGCTCCATGTGGCGCCAGGACTTTGCCACATTCATGACAAATAACGGCCTCGTCATGCTCTCTCACCGCTGGAGTAACAAAGGGCGGTGCCCGTTCTCCACATGCTCGTGCCACTCTGTGCAATAGACGCTGCCAGTGTACGTGTCGAAATTGTTCCATCTGGGCCGCGCGTGCTCGGTGAGATATCTTCCTCATCAGGATGAACGCCTCGCGTTCGCCCGTGCCCCGAAAAGGAGTCGATCCAGTCATGGTAGGTGTTGCGTTTGTCCGTCGGTATTTGTCTTATGTAACGTTGTCGTGTACCCATTCCAGGTCCTCCGCTGTGAGTAGGTTCCAGGAGGCCTTCACGTTCCAGAGTAAGTCAATAAGTCGCAACAGCTGCTGATCTCCGTGGTGTATGAGTCTTATCAGGTGTCCCAGCCTTTTGCATCTCAATAAATGCGGAAAGTTTTTTCATATATATATATATATATAAAACAGCAACAACAGAAAAGTATACTTCCTCATCCTTCCAATGCATGACATCCTGGATGTTGACCATGTTGGCGGTCGGCCTGTAGGCAGACAGGTGTCTGGCCGCCGCCTCCGTCTCTAAGCGCACTCCAAACGGACCCCAGATTTTGGCGTTTTAGGCGAAGGTGCTGTCGCAGAGGACCGTGGCGAGTGTGGTCTTGACCTCAAGCTTCAGCTCGCTCATCCGGTTGACAGAGGCTCTCAACGGGCGTGCCGCTGCCGCATGACCTTTCATCCTCCTCGCCATGTTGGGTCCCTCGCTGCCTTTCGTGTCGATGACGGTGCCAAGGTTGGCCGCGGCCTCGACAATCTGGATATGTTGTTGGAGGCCCTCGTGCTGGATGATGCATTGATGGGTCTTCATGATGTCAGGTTTCGCCTTCTTGGGGTGGGGGCCATAAAGACCGACCAAGCACTTAGTTTTGGTGAAGTTGAAGGTGAAGCCGTAGAGCCGAGTGCACTTGTCCAGAATGGTGGCTATGCCCAGCACCGAACCTTGTATGTCGAGGCCCGTGTTTGCCACGCAGAGTAAGGCAGCATCGTCGACGAAAGAGACCTCTGTGACATCCGTCGGGGTGTCCGTTCGCGCAGCCAGTACCTGTCGGTTTCCAGGTGACATTTGCAGGGTGTGCCCCTGCTCGGAAAGTTCGCTGTGCAGATCCTTGTGTAGGCTGGCGGGTCCCAGGTTGTATAGTAGGTCCGCCGAATCGTTGCCAAGGTTCGTGCCGCGTCTGCTCTCTGCTGTGTTGTGGGCACCCTGCGTGATGAAGAACGTGTGGTGATGTACTTCGGCGATGGCGAAGTGCAGGGAACTGTCCACCCCCTCGGCTTGCAAGGCACTCGGCTTCTCCAGGAGGCGCTCGAGGGCTGGCTCCATCCATGTGGGGGCTTGCTGCGTGCGGCAGATGTCCTCCAGGTCCTCGGTATCAGTGGGTCCAGGCACGATGTGCTTCTGACCACCGTGTAGAAAGCCGCCTGAAGGTCAGGGCACCATACAGTCGGGGCCCTGAAGAAGGACCCCTTTTCGTTGGGGAGGGGCTCCGCGTTCCTTCAGTGTTTCGCAGCTTGCCTCAGGTTGTCCTTATGTTTTGGATCGGAAATCGAAGTTTAATTTATAGAAAAAGGGGCCTCGTTTCTTATTTTGGGTTCCTTAAGTCAAGGCCCCGACTGTAGCCCACCCCGTTCAGAGACCGTGCAGTTTCGCCCTCGGGGGCCCCATCGCCCACCCATCGGCGATGCCTCGCCGATCTCGAGCTCGTTGTTGCCCCCCCCTGAACTGGTCCCCCTTTGATCGCATGTTGTCAAACATTTTTTTCCTCAAACAAAAAACATCTTACGTCAGAACCGTCACGTTGTCATGCAAGTGCAGCAGGATGCCATACATCGCTACCGACAATAGAAAACGTCACGGCATGGAACAATGTTGAACCATGTTTTCATCCAAAAACGGTAACTGTCGTCCATTCCGTGACGCTGCCATCTCGTAGAAGGGGCCCAAGACCCGCTCTCCCCAGGACCCGTTGCCCTCGTGCTAAGTCGGGCATGCCCCACTATTACAGGAGGAGTATTCAAGCACAGCTGCAGCATAGTCTGAAGACGATGTTTCTCATGTTTTGTTCGACATGTGTTAGACAGTTGTGGGTATGCTTGATCTGTCTTCCAACATCTCCCTGGATATGCCCGACCTAACCCTCGTGCTGAGAGCGGCGCGTGCTGCCCCTGGACCACCCCTGCGCCAGGCTGGCGCCGCCAAGGGCAAGGGCGCGAAGTCCACGGGCAGGGGCAAGGGCCGGTCGGAGGAGCTCTGAGTCCCCGAGGCCGCGCACATGTCATGTCGACGAGCAGGAGGGGAGAACGGAAGGTCCTCCTCCTCCTCCTCCTCCTCCTCCTCCTCCTCTTTCTCCTCCTCCTCCTCCTCCCCGCTCTCCTCCGCAAGGAGGCGTCCTCGTCCTCATCCTCCGTCTCCTTCTCCTCGGCATAAACGTCAACTTTTGGCGCTCCGCGCGGATTTCTCGGATCCGCGCTGAACAGTGGAGACCCATGCCAAGAAACACCCTGCCTGCCTCCAGGGTGCCTTGGGTTCCTTGGGTCTTGATGGTGTTGCCGTGGAGGGCGTGACGTTCCCAGACCAGAAATCAAGGGACATCCTGGTGTCTCGGGGTTGGGTTTCTTGTGGATGGGTTCTTGTGGTCGGGCCTCCACTGTAGACGAGCAGGAGGGGAGAACGGAAGGGGGCAGGTTCGTAGCTGGCTGGGGGGGGGAGGTGGCCCAACTCTGGTTGCGGCCAGCGGGGGGGGGGGAAGGGGGGGCCCCTCGTTGCCCGCATCCCCCCCGTCTTGGCGGATGTTGCTCAGCCCCCCCGGCCGCCTCTCCAGGGGCGCGCCAGGAGAGAGGAGAGGATGAGAGGGAGTTTCCTTGGCGCTCACAGCCACCAACGAAAGCATCCACTGCCCACAGAGGTCAGCACTTTGCATTGGTAGTTTTGGAGCTGGAAGATCAGTGAATGGCGCCCACTGTGAAGGACAACGGTCAGTTAATAAGTTTTCAGGCCAACTCCCTGGTGCCAACGCACACGTGCAAGAAACGAGATCAAATACTTGACAGTATTGCCTCGGTGCTGCAGGTCCGAAGACGGGGATCTGAGGCGGGGGATGTGGATGAGGAGGAGTACACATTCTGCGGGCCTCCCCCTCCGCCCCCCCGGCCACCTTCTCCTACTATTCCTCCTGCTCTGCCTCTCAGGTGATGCTCGCCGATTCGGCCGTTTCTTCAGAGTCGATGTTGCTGGGGAGCGCGCCAACCGCAGCTGCATCAGCGTCTGCCGATCCTGCCTTGGCCTGTCCTGGGTGCCAGGCCAGGGCACGTGGCCTCCTGGCCGGGAGGGAGTAGCTGCACGCCGATCCTGGGCCCCGTTGTGTCAGCGCTTGCCGATTCTGCCCTGGCCACTCCTGGGTGCCTCCTCCTCCTCCTCCTCCTCCTTCTTCATCCTCCTCCTCCTCCTTCCTCCTCCTGCTCCTCCTCCTCCTCCTGGTCCTCCTGGTCCTCCTGGTCAGGAGTGGGTAGCTCTATACGCCGATCCCGGGCCCCAGAGTCGGCCAAGGCCAGCGCGGGCGTCTCCGTGGGTCGGCGTCCCCCGCGGCAGGGCCCCCCCCCCCTCCCCCGAGAGAGAGAGAGAGAGAGAGAGCTGCGTGAAGCGAGGCGCGGGGCCGTCTCCGCGGGCACCCCGTCCGCGCCGCAGAGGGGGGCAGACGGAGAGCTTGGCATCGCTCGGACGTGTGCATGTTTCTTTCGGCGAGGACCATCGAGGAGCATCCTTGATCATTTTGAGAAAAAACCGCGCACGAAATCAAAAAAAACACAGGGTATGGACGTCCGAGCGATGGCCAGAGAGGCGCAGGCACCCTTTTGGCCAGGCCCCCGTGCACGAAGCCCCGAGCAGGAGCGAGGAGGAGGGTTTGAGGGGGGGTGTGGGCATGTGGAGTGGGGGCGGAGGAGCGAGGAGGGGGGTGGAGGACGGAGGAGGAAGGGGGAATGAGGATGGAGGGGCGAGGAGGAGGAGGAGGAGGAGGAGGATGGAGGAGCGATTCGGAGCGAGGAGGATGGAGGAGGGAGGGGGAGGACTCAGACCTCCAGCGAATGGAAGCAAGTAATGATCCCGGGCATGCCCAATGGGGTGGGCATGATCGAAATGAAGATGGAGGAGCGATTAGGAGCGAGGCGGATGGAGGAGGGAGGGGGAGGACTCAGACCTCCAACGAATCGAAGCAAGTAATGATCTGGGCATCCCCAATGAGGTCGGCACGATCGAAATGAAAATGGAACAAATGGGTACTGAGACCGATTGTCGGCGTCGCCGTGGACATCGTCCAGTTGAGAGAGAATTCCTGCTGCCCAACGGCGGCCGCTGTCGGTTCTGGACAACAGTTGTGGTCGGGCATGCTGTAGCCGTTTTTGTTTAAAGAGCCCACTTCGGGCATCCAGCAGGGAGGAGGAGCGGACCCAGACCCCCAACACATGGAAACAAGCAACGGCGGACGTGCCGCGCCCTCTTCCGGCCTCCGAGGAGCCCCTCGCCCGGCAGGCCCCCCCCTGGCTGGCGAAGAAGAGCGAAGCTCGGGGGGGCGAAAGGAGCTTTCTTTGATCTGGAGCCTCCTGGCAACTGATTTGGAGCCTCCAGACCGCCCTCGTCCAGGAAGAGGAGGAGGAAGGAGGAGGGGCAGGAAGGAGGAGGAGGAGGAAGGAGGAGGAGGGAGGGGGAGAAAGGTGGAGGAAGGAGGAAGAGGAAGGGGGAAGAGAGGGAGGAAGGAGGAGAAATGCCCAGGAATAGGAAGAGGAGGAGGAAGAGGAGGAGGAAGGAGGAGGAAGGAGGAGGAAGGAGGAGCAAGGAGGAAGAGAAGCCACTCGGCGGTGGAGGAGGAAGGAGGAGGAGGAGGAGGAGGAGGAGGAGGAGGAGGAGGAAGAGGAGGGGGAGGAGGAGGAGGAGGGAGGAGGAAGGAGGAAGAGGGGGGAGGAAGAGGAGGATGAGAAGCAGGAGCAGAAGGCCCGATTGCGGCTGTGGTTACGCATCTGGCAGGCACTCCCCCTCTGCCTTTTCCCTCCCTCCTTCCCCCCTCTGCCTTTTCCCTCCCTCCCTATTTCCCCTTTCCACATCCTCATTTTTTCCTTCTCCTCCTCCTCCTCCTTTCTTCCTCCCCCTCCTCCTCCTCCTCCCCCTCCTCCTCCCCTCCTCCTCCTCCTCCTCCTCCTCCTCCTCCTCCTCCTCCTTCTCTTCTCTCTTCCTTGTATTCCTCATCATCATTTTCCTCTCTTCCTCTTCTTTCTCATATTCCTCCTCCTTTTCTTTCTCCTTCTTTCCCCTCTTCTTTCTCCATCCCTTTCCCCCCCTTTCCCACCTCGTTCCTTTCCCCCTGTCCCTCCTCCCCCTGCTCCTCCTCCTCCTCCTCCTCCTCCCCCTCCTCCTCCTTTTCCTCCTCCTCCTCCCTCTCCTCCTTCTCCTCCTCCTCCTCCTCCTCCTCCTCCTCCTCCTCCTCCTCCTCCTCTTGGGGGGTCAGGGGTCAGGAGTGCTGGAGGCGTCTTCGCCCCTCTTCTTCTCCTCTTATTATTGGGGCCCATCACCACGTGCACCTCTCCCTCTTCCAAGCCTTTTTTCCCCGTTCTCCATCATCATTGTGGTTCGAGACCTGTTGGCCCGCAGGCACGCGCCCTCTCCTCCTCGTCCTCTTCCTCCTTTTTCTTCCCCTCCTCTTCCTCCTCCTCTTCTACTTATCCCCTCCTGGCCATAAGTCATCCTTCTCCTCCTTCTCCTTCTCCTCCTCGTATTCCTCCTCCTCACCTTCCTCCTTTCCTCCTCCTATCCCCGTGGCCGGGGCTGCCATGGCCGACCAGCGGGTGCTCCTCAAGGACAGGAGGAAGATCCCGCGGCTAACCCTACCAGCAGATGTGACAGCAGATGATCTGGAGCAGCAGGATTGCCATGGGAGTGGGAGGCGGATAACAACAGCAGGAGGAATAGGATGAGGAGGGGGATGAGGGTTAGGGGAGAGAGGAGGGCCAAGCTTTTTTGTGGCCCTTGGAGGCCCTATGGTCGCCACAGCTGGGCCCAGCTCGAACAACTGGTGCGCATGGACCCTGGAAGGGGTCCTCCTCCAGGGGCCCTTTCTGGAGGAGTAGGGGTGGGCGCGTGTTTTGTTTGTTGCGGCACCCCCTGGAGGGGCAGATCGCGCTCCCCAGCGACGACGACGAGGGCATGATGGGCGATTTTTCCGAGGGGGTGACAGAGGCCTTCAGATGAAATGCCACACAGATCCTGTGGTTGGTCTCCTCGACTTCCCCTGGGCAAAGAGGAAGGCTATCACGAGCTAGCCCTCCTGCTCTTTGCCTGTGGGAGCTCGAGGAAGGCCAACCGCATGATCATTGCGGTTTTGCTTCGAAGGCAGAGCTCGACCTGAACCTCGGTTTATCATCGTGCAGATGCGGGTCGAAATGCATCCAGAATTGGGGCTTCAAGGACTATGGCCACGTAGTAAGGGGGAGGGGGGTGAGAGGAAGGCGAGGGGGCGGTGCGATGCGGGGGCGGGCACGGGAAGGAGAAAGGAGGGGAGGGGGGAGGAGGGCAGAAAAAACTGAGGGGGAGGAGGTGGAGGAGCAGGGGAGAGGAGGGGAGGGAAGACGCGATGGGGCCATGGCTGGATGCAGCTCGAAAAAACTGAATAGAACCCTGCTGCCGGGCCCAGGGGGGAGGGGCGCCTCTGACACCTAGAGGAGAAACACGCGGCCTTGATGCACCGGCAGAAGATCAAGGAAAACAAAGAGGATGCCAAAGAAATCATATTCAACACGATCAAGGACACCTGGACTTATCCAACAAGTCTCTAGTCATTCCCCCCCTCTGCTTCTCCTCCACTCACTCCTTCACCACTCTCTGGGGGCCCTCCTCCACCGCCCTCTGGGGCCCTCGTCGTGTTCCCCTCTCCCCTGCTCCTCCTTCTCCTTCTCCTCCTCCTACTCCACCTCCTCCTCCTCCTTCCCTCCCTCCTGCATCCCCGATCGCCTCCTCTCCCGCCCCCCGAGGGCCCGCCCACCACCTCCCCCCCCCTGAAGAGGGGGGGGCAGGGGGAGAACAGTTTTCATTATCATTGACATCGCGCCCATCAGGAGGCCACGACAACAGCGCAGGGGTTCGACAAAAAGGAAAAACGCGGATGGGCTTGGTGCGGCGCGCCACTATGCAGGTCTGCGTTCCGAGAAGCGGTAGGTATTTCAAACAAGACGCTCGTCAACATGGAGAAGGCTTTAAGGGCTGGCATGCTCGCCCCATACGAAGACCAGAGGAAGTGCAACGGCAGCAACGACCAGTCGTTGGAGAAGCAGCTCGATCTAGATTCGTTTTTTTCGTTTGTCTACCAGTACTTGGCAGAAACACTTGCTGATGAGGATAGGGGGTGCAAGGAGTTAGCGGAGAAGGGGCACCACGCATTCATCCTGGAGTGGATCCAAGCCCGCGATGGCAACCCCCTGGCAGCGTCGAGCGCCGGCCCCATGCAGACAGCAGTGGATATGCGCGCCTTGCCCCACATGTCCTGGACGGAGTTCCACGAGCTGTACCAAGCGCACATGATGGAGAAAGAAGCTGAGGGTGGATGTGCAGGGTTCAAGGCGTTCAAGAAATATTTTGAAGATAATTGGTCCAACATGATCACATTCAGGGCTGTTGGTCAGCACGACCGTTGCGACACGTGCGCGGAGCTGACGAAGCTGCGGAGGGAGCACCCTATCAAGCGAGAGCGTGAACTAGCAGCCCAGGCTTCGAAGGCCCACCTTAACCGTATGTTCGACGACCGGAGAATGGATGCAAGGCTGACGCACTTGAGCGAGCTGTCAACATCACCATCGAGCTCAGTGCAATCAGTCCTGCACGTGCGGATTGATGGAATGGACCAAGCGAAGTTCAAGTGCCCTCGCAACGTGGAGTCAGCGAAGATGTGGTCATCCTTATGGCGCCCAACTTTACACACCGTGGGAATCATTTGCGAGGGCGTATGCGAGATCTACCTGGTCATGCCAGCTGACGAGGCCAAGGGTTCCAACATGGAAATTTCTTGCCTGTCGTACGCGCTGGACTTATGCAATCAAGAGTTGATGGCCAAAGGCCTCCGCATGCCAGACCACTTGTCAGTTACCTACGACAATACGGGCCGTGAAGGTAAAAACCAGCACGTGGCCATATGGTTAGCTTGGCTCGTTGCGTCAGGCAAGTTCCGGTCCACCCAGGATGGCCAGGGCGAGAAGGGCCACGCGCACAACAAGATTGACCAGCGTTTCAGCGTCATCAGCACTATATTGAAGAGCGCGCCAGTTCTTCAAACTCCCAAGGACTGCATTCCGGAGGATGTGGAGGAGGAGGAGGAGGAGGAGGAGGATGGGGGAGGAGGGGGAGGGGGAGGAGGAGGAGGAGGATCAGCTACGCATCTTCGGGCAAATCAGCTTTGAGCAAAGAAGCAGTCTCGAGCCGAGCAGCTTTGAGCTGGGCAGCGTCGAGGAGGGGAGGTGGAGGAGGAGGAGGAGGAGGAGGAGAAGGACAAGGTGGGGCTCTCGATTTCCTCCATGCCTCTCGCTTTGCCTTTTGCAGCCCCCCCTAGCCCCCACTACTGGCGGTGCGCTGTTCGACCCCCTTCCCAAAGGTGCTTCTGCCTGCTGGCTTCACTGTCGCCCTTCTCCAAGTCTCTCAAAGCCCCCCCCCAATTCAGCCTCCTCCACT